TGGCCCATCTCGAGGAGGCGGCGGCAGAGGTGCAGGCCGAGGAAGCCGGCGCCGCCCGTCACGAGGATGCGCTTGAAGCCGTTGCCCGTCTCGATGGGCATTGGCCGAAGCGCCGCGGCGACCGGCTCCTTCTTCAAGACCGCCTTCTTCTCGCGCTTGGGCGTGCCGGCCTGCGGCGACGGCTTCTTGCTCGCCGAGGCGAAGAGCGATCGATGGATGGTACTGTGGTGGCTGCGAAGATGCGACGTGCCGTTCGATGTGTTGTCGTTGTGGATCGCAATCAGTGCGTCTTGGAACGGCGTCTTGGGGTTGTCGGCGCAGAGCTTGCACACGTAGGCGCAGAGCGTGCCCCGGCGGTTGGGCTCGGGTCCGTTCTTGAGCTTGTAGATGTACTTCCACACCTGCGACTTCTTCTCGACCCGCTCGTACTCGGGCCGCGACTCGTCGGCAGCCATGTCCGGCGTCGGGGTCTCGCTCGACATGATTAGCACAGTCGGGATTTCGACTAACTGACTTTGGCCCTCGACCACAAAAGTGTTGTGCCGGGAGCACAAGACCCTTAAAAAGAAGACTTGGTATTTGTATGCAATTAAATACCATCGCAACCGGCATCCGCGTCGTGTAGTCGATTGGGCCGACTGAAAACCGCCAACGCGGCTAAAAACACCCAGCAAAACCATTTCATGAAGGCGCTTCGACTTCGCTTGCAGCATGCAGCCAGGACGCAAAATACATGTTATGTGCGCAAATACAGTACTTGCCTAGACAGAGAGCATTGCGTACTTTGACACGGGACTGGACCCCGCTTTTTCTCACGCCGCCTTGGGATAAGAAACTACGCGCGCAGCGCCTTGTCCTTGTCGCTGCTCTTGTGAGCCGTGTGAGGCGTCGGCTTGCGGTAGTAGCGCATGTCCAAGCCGCGGAAATACTCGATCGTCTGCATCAAGCCAGCCTCGAGCGCCACGCGTGGCTCCCAGCCAAGGTGCTGCCTAGACACACGCCATTACACCTCGCACCGAACAGTCCAACGTACTTGGCCAACGTCGTATCCGGCTTGCGGCGCTTTGGATCGTCGCCAGGCGATTCCATGTAGATGAGCTTGGAGTCCGAGCCAGTCATGCGGATAATGGTCGTCGCAAGCTCCATGATGGTGATCTCGTGCGGGTTGCCGAGGTTGATCGG